GGGCACTCCATGGAAGAGGCCTGCACAGCAGGAGTGTGCTTCAGTGACCCAGGTGTGCGGGACAGGGTGTCCAGTTACAATGAACAGAATCTACTCCAGGAAGTTTAGCAACAAAGGGGTTTATCTAAAAATATGTTAAGATGTTCAAGAGGGCCAGAAAACTAGTCTGGGTGGCTATCTGAGCAGGAACACCATCCAAACATGTGGCCATTGCAGCCTCTGCTAGGCACTCACACCATAGCTTGCACCGTTGATAGTGAGCCCCAAATGCTGCCTGTCCCTGCTGACCCAGAAGCCAGATGCTTTGGCCATCACCCTTCCAGAAAGTAGGTCCCATTATGGTGTCCACTTAGAGGTGACCTGGTAACAGGTACCCCTCCCACTTTCACCCATCAGCCCTTATTCTGACTTTGAGAGAAAGAGCACCATCTATTGGTCGCTGGGTCATAGTACACCTAGCATCTTGTAGGGAGGTATCTCACCCTCAAGGAATTCCCTCTCTGCTGGAACAATAATGGAGTGCTTAATGGGCTGTTCCACCAAGCCACAGGGCCCTTTGTTGCAGGCAAGCCTATCTATTGTCTCACTTCACTGTAGGTCAGTGATGGGGAACCTTTTGAGCTAGGCGTGTCAGCATTTTGAAAAACCCTAACTTAACTCTGGTGCCGTGTCACATATAGAAATGTTTTGATATTTGCAACCATAGTAAAACAAAGACTTATATTTTTGATATTTATTTTATATATTTAAAGGCCATTTAACAAAGAAAAATCAACCAAAAAAATGAGTTTGCGTGTCACCTCTGACACACGTGTCAAAGGTTCGCCATCACTGCTGTTGGTGAACTTTGGTGAGAAGCATTGTTGCGTGGAAAGAAATGATAGTGAATAAGGCAATTTGGTAAGTCCATGAGAGGCGTTGCTGACCTGAAAATCCAAATCAAGAGAGAGTAGTTTTTTCCAGTGAGGACAAATCATTGCCCTCCACTACAATTTCCCTCCTGGCTGTGGTGTTATAACAAGTCTCAGGGGTAGTTACTGCTGCTGAAAACTAACCAGCCTTGCCAAGGAGAAGTCCCTATTGTGCCAAAGCATTATCTCTGTCCCTGAAACCGTGGCCACTTTGTTCCATGAGGCCGCTGAGCGAGGGTGGCTGGGGAAAGGGAAAGACAGGCAGGCAATCTTCCTCCTGCACACTCAGACCTCCCCCACAGTGGGAACTCCTAACAATCCCAGTGGGACACAAAGATCCTTCCATACTTGGGCCTGTCCTGAGATGTCCACTCATAGTCCTCCTCCTCAGACATCCTTTATGTTGCTGACCATCCTTCCAAATAGGTAGCTAGTGTCATGACCTGGAGAGCATCCGCCTCTCAGGCCTTCTCTCCTTCAGCAAAGTGTACAGTGTGGACCTCTCTCAAGTTCTGCTCCCTGGGGAGGTTTCATTTCCCCACTGTCCCTCAGCCCCAGTGGGGCCGAAATGCCCCAGCAGTTAAATTCTAGCAAAACTTGCAGAGATATCTGTAAACCAGATTTGACTTTTTACCTCCATAGCAAACTGCTCATTGGGAATTCCCCATGAGACAATGGTCGTGAGGGAGGGTAGCACAGAGGCAGGCAGGAGGCACATCGCAGGATACCATGCTGACTGCTGCAGCATATCACCAGGACCCTCGGGCACTTGGACCTCTGTGCTGGCATATTCCATTTCCACCTGAAGTGGGCGTGATGCAGGGCTGGGCCCACTAAACTTGGCTTGGTAGATCAAATCACTCCCAGTTCAAGATGGGTAGTTCAGTGTCCTGTGGTTAAACTCTCAGTAGCAAGTCAAGAATTATTTCCAAAAGGAGAATAATTACTTGCATAAGAGAGCTTGGCTTTGCTCCAAAAGCTGAGGCTGCAGCTGTACTTCCTCTATTACAGCAGTTCTCAACCTGTGGGTCGCAACCCCTTTGGGGGGTCTAACGACCCTTTCACAGGGGTCGCCTAAATACATCCTGCATATCAGATATTTACATTACAATTCATAACAGTAGCAACATTACAGTTATGAAGTAGCAACGAAAATAATTTTATAGTTGGGTCACAACATGAGGAACTGTATTTAAAGGGCCAGAAGGTTGAGAACCACTGCTCTATTAGGACTCGCTGCAGGCTCCACACAGCATTCATGGTGAGCCATAGACATTCTGAGACCTCCCAGGTCATAAGGGCAGAAATGCAGAGCTGCTTACAATAGGCCTGGACCAGCTGGAGAGCCCTCTCTGGCCCAGGCCTCCATTAAAAGTGAGTCAGAGCAGTGTTATGCCCAGATTTCAGGATCCCCAAAAGACCACCAGGGAGCCAGCTGAGTCCGATGCAAAAGCAAAGAGTCTTTATTTGCGCTAGCTCGGCTCCCTGACCACACTCACCGACGCAGCGGCAAGCAGCAGAGAGAGCGCTAGCCCTGTGCGAAGAGGGGTTTTATAGGGGTGTGGAGTAAGGGGAGGAAAGAGGACTATGGGCCCTGCTGATTGGCCGGGTGCAAGTCGGTGTCTTGTTACACAGGATGTGGTCATATTTATGGTGCGCACTTTCCTTGATTGTCATTGGTTAAAGAAATCCTGGGTGTGGCTAGCAGAGGCTTGGGCTTCTGGGAAGAAGCTCCTTGCTGAGCACATGGCTGCCCCAAAATGGAGGATCCAGGGTAAGATGGAGGGCATAGCCCTTACCCTGGGGCAAGATGGAGGGCATAGCCCTCACCCTTTCAAGCAGCAAACCCAAAGGTGACAGAGGTTGATTTTCAAATGCCAAAGAGTTCCATTAAGCATCTACGGTGGCACTAAGAGCTGCAGTTCCTACAAAGATATGGTATTGCTTTTGTTTGGCTATTTTGGTTGCAAGCAGAGCCTAAGGAGGATGACCTTGACCCTCCAGTCATGGACATCCTTCCTCTATGGGTCGTAAGCTACTGTGGGGATTCTGCAATTGCTGAAGGGAGCTGTTCCCACTTAGACTCAGGAACTGGGGGAATTACCACATAATTTTTCACTGAGAAAATGGAAGCAGCCGGAAGAGAAGGTGCACAGTCTACCTTCACTACATCTGCCCACCTTCCAGCATCTGCTCCCACTTGTGGTCTGTTCTACAATGCATGTTTCTGTAATGTTAACTCATATATTATGGCTCAGTTGGGGGATGATGTCACTGTAATGTGGAAATTGAGTGGGTTCATAAGTGACTTTTCCCCCCAGTACAATTAATGTTTTGTGCCACCGGGTAAGAGCAGCTGAATGTGAAGGACACCAGTGGAATAATTCAAATGAACAAGCTATAGAATGAGGTACTTTACACGATGCCTATTCACCACACCTTCCTCTTCTTGGGTCAGGGTGGCCACAGGTTCTGTCTTGGAAGTGCTTATAGTACAACTCAGCAGCTTCTACCCTTCCATCAGATTCTATCAAGCTGTCTTTGCCCTTTTCTTGGGAGTGAAATTCTTTATTTACTGATGTATTTATTATAAATATATCTGTTTTTAAATAACTATGGTGATTGGTGTTTTTGTTAATACGCAGGTTGCAAAGTTAGATAGGTTTGGAACAGTTGGCTCCAACCGGATTTTTTCGATAAATTGTTATTTTTAGTGCATGAATTTGAGAATAAAATTTTCAGGAGCACATTTATCATGTTATTGCAGAAATGCCTGTATACTGCCTTTCCACTCGTAACCATGGAGAAATTATTCATGCTCTTATCAAAAGCTTATTTCTCCTTGTGCAAACTGTTTTCTTCTTATTCAAGGAAACTTCTCCAGTATTTATCCCTTTTTCCTACTTCATCAGTTTTTCATCTTTTCTGGAACAGTTTGTCAACATTAAAAAACAAAAAATCATTGTCTTGATTCCACACACCCTACAAACATACTACCCCCATTTTCTCCCTTTTTAACAAAACTAGGTGAATGAGTTGTCTATACTACCTCCAGCTCTTTTCCTGTTTTGTTAAGCCTAATCAGGTCTGGTTTTTGTTTCTTCTCCACTCCACCAAAACTCCCATTGTCAGGAATGACTTTCCCATTGTTTACATCAATGGTCAATTTCCTGTCCTTATGTGACTTGGCTAGCTAGCAGTATTTAATAGTTCATCACTGTCTCTACCATATGCCTTGTTCATTTGCCTTCTAGGCAACCATTCTTGTTTTCCTCCAGCCTCAATCATTCCTCTTCTACTCCCAACCTCTTAGTGTTGGAGACACCAACTCTACTCCCCTTCCTTTCTCTCCCACACAGAGTCCTGGGGGGTTATCCGATTCAGCTTTATGGCACCTATGCGCTGAAAATCCCCAAATTTGTATCTCCAGAGCAGACTTTTTCTTAAACTGCATCCTCATATATTCAACTGCCTACTCAACATCTCCACTTGGTGTAATACATGTCTCAAAACAGCAAGTCTAAAACTGTACTTCTGGTATTTCCCACCTAACCTGTCCTTCTTGTGGCCTTTCCCCTCTCATTTGGTGGAAACTCCATTATTCCAGGTATTTGGCCATAATTTTGCAGTCATTTCTGTCTCTTCTCCATCTATCACACCACACACACATCAGTAGATCCTGTTGGTTCTACCTTGAAAATACATTCAGAATTCAGCTGCCTCTTACACCTTTATTGCTACCACCCTGGGGTAAGCTACTGTTTTCCCATGCCTGGATTATTGCAAAAACCTCTCAACGGGCCTCTCTATTTCTACTCTTGCCCCTCTACAATTGATTCACAGTACAGCAGTCATAGTGATCCTGTAAAATGTATGTTAGATTGCTACCTGTTCAAAACTCTCCAGTGGCTTTGAGTCCAAGTCAAAATAACAGCCTTCAAGGCCTTAAATCTAACCTGCCATCCCCAACTGCCACTCACGTAGTCTTTAAGCTCTCGTTCTCCAGCTCACTCACTCTACTGCAGCCACATTGGCCTCTCCTGTTTCTTCTTCTCCAGTAGTGAACACAAGGACTGCATTTAATTTAAAGAAGAGTGAGGTAACAGTTTATTCATTAGTTGAGAAAAAAAGAAAAGCAAACTCTATTTTCTACCATGTTGGAGGATATTGGCTTAATTCAGATTGTTATTATTCCCATTGATGTTTCACATAATATGAGACATATAACATACAAAATGTATTGCACATAACATTTTCTTTCCAGTGGAGAAAAAAAATTATAGGTTCAAAAATCAAGTTTGATATCAAAAGAATTAACATAAAAGTTTCTAAATTCAAAACAATCTGATAGTTAAAATATTATCAACCTTGTGAAGATTTTGATATGCTCTGTGAACCTCTGAAAACTTGTGATGTTGCAGCTTCAGCTCAAACACTGCAGGCAGAGCAGACCTTCCCCTATTCTCTCAAATACAAAGTTTAAGAGTATTTTAGTTTAATTATGTATTCACTGTTCTTCGTCAGAAACATTAAGCCCTTTAGAGCCGTGGTCGGCAAACTGCAGCTCGCGAGCCACACGCGGCTCTTTGGACCCTTGTGTGTGGCTCTTCCTAAGCCTTAGGAGTACCCTAATTAAGTTATGTACCTACCTATATAGCTTAAGTTTAAAAAATCTGGCTCTCCAAAGAAATTTCAATCGTTGTACTGTTGATATTTGGCTCTGTTGACTAATGAGTTTGCCGACCACTGCTTTAGAGCCTAAAGCAGAAACTCTTATTAAAATCCTGTGTCCCGCAGCCATGCCCCCTAAACCTGTCTACTTGTTACTCTGTGGCACTATCAGACCCTAGAGGCAACCCTTCTCTGTAGGGCTGACATGTAAGGCCTTGAACTTGGCTCACAGTATCTAGCCTGCTACAGTCCAGAAGAAGATGACTTCTTATATTTGTGTATAAATGCATCTGTTTTCCCAAGGCTAACTTTGTAGCATTCCACTGGCACCAAGGAGCCAAATGGTGGCATCTTATGTAAGCATTCCTGGTGATTGGCTTCAAATGACGATGACACGGTCTCTGATATGCCAGTTTTTCCTTCGAGAATCAAGCACTTTTCCGCTCCAGGTTCATCAGAGTGACTGCCTTTAGAATTCAAAGGGAAGCTGCTCCCTTCACAGTCTTTGAGGTGCCTACGGTGATCTTCACTAAGCAACAATACAATGGTCCCGCCAACATGAAGCACTCTGTGACAAAAAGTGATATTGGTATGAGCATTTCTTCCTTTTCAGATAATAAACAATCCCACTTTATTTAAAATATTTGGTGTTTTTAATTTGAAATTTAATTTTATCTATTTAAATACAGGGATTTTGATAATTGGGCAGTATCTTTCATAATGCATATTCATTATAGTAATTATGGAATCGCTAGTACAAATCTGCTTTAATTATCTATTTTTACTCTACTTAAAAGGCAAGCCTCAAAGTAATTTATAATAATATTCTAATAAGTGATTGTACAAAAGGAAAGGCAAATGAAAAAATCCTAAAGAATCAGCATATATCAAAGGCATTGGGCTGATGGCAGAAGAAAACCATTAGGAAAGAAAGAAGACATGAACAAAGGATTGGCAAAAGGGAAGACCTTAAAATATCAGCTTGTTGAGGAGAATTCATTTACTCAATCCTCTGGCCAAAGTCTGTAGAGTACTTATGTGGAAAAGTCGTGAATGACATACAGTCCTGAGTTGCTAATGAGATCACTGAACAGTAGGGGAGAGGCCAGCAAAGCGTGGATCCCAAACCTACACTGCGAGTTAAAGGATAAGCAGGTGAGCCAGGCCAGTGACAACTAGGGGCTGGAGTGAGGGAGGGTGTTGGAGGCAGAGGAAGCATCAGAGACAGGGAGGAGTACAGGAGGCGGCACTGACAGTAGTTTGGCATGAGGGTGAATAAGAGGGTGATGGTAGGAGGAGGGAGGAAAAGAATTCTGTTTGGATATCAGTGTGGGTTCTAATTGGCAGCTGGATATACAGCCTGGAGGTAATGAGAAAGACCAGGCTCGAGGTGGAGATTTTAGAGTTCTCCATAGTAAATGGAAGATAAAGCCATAATGGTGGATAATATGATCTGAAGTGGCAATGCACAGTGAGAAGAGAAAAAGGGCCAAGGAATAGAGGCTTAAAAAGTAAGGATAGAAGGGAAGAGCCCATGAAACACAACCCTAGGGGAAATCTAGACAAAAGTGGAAGCCAAAGGAGTTCAAGAATGGTCTCAACAGTGTCAAATGCTATAGGACTAACAAGTTACCACGGTTATAAGAAGTCACTAGTGAACCTGGAGAGAACAATCTGACTTGAGGGCAGGAGCAGGTGCTGGTTGGCTGGAACCAGGAGGGGACTGGAAGGTGAAGATCAGAGATGTCAAGTGCAGACTACTGTCAAGCAGTTTGGCTGTGTAGGTAAGGAACCAGTGTGACAGCTAGAGAACCAAGAGTTAAGGAGGGTCTCCCCACACCCAGCAGAGATGTCAGGACAGTCAGCAATCCAGATAAGTATGTCTCTAAAGGACACCAAATCTACAGCACTCCTATCCTCAAATCTGGCTGCACTATTGCAACAATCTCCTTTCTACTCTCATTGCTCCTTCCACTCTCCCTTCCCAGTTTCCACATAGAAAACAAAAGTAAATCCCTGCTAACTCTCTCTTCCACTATACTGCAAATAAATTCTAAACTCCTACACGATCTGACCCTCACCTACCTTTGCCACTCCATTGCCTGCTTGCTTTCCTTTGCTCACTACGGTCTGAGCAATTGAACTTCCTTCAGTTGCTCAAACTCAACAAGCTTTTTCTCATCTTAGAACATTTGAACTTGTTGGTCGGTCTGCACTTAACACTCATTCCCTTATGTGCCTTCTCATTATTGAGGTCCCAGAGTTCAACTACCACGTCCTTGGCGAGCCTTCCCCGACTATCTATCTAAAGCAGCCACTGCTTTTCTCTCAGTCATAAACTTCTGATTTAAAAAAACCGTAGAAAATTAAGCTACAAAAACTCTAGGAAATTATTAAAATGCAATCAAATCTTAACTGGAGTGCTATAATATATTTTGGTGAAATGCCCAATAGCTCAAAATTACTGAAATAAATTCAACACCTTACCTTTCCATTTCTTGTAGAATGCTTTTGATGTCTTTCCCTAACTTAAACTTTTTCCCGAATGGAATGTCAGAAATAATAATATCAACACTTTCTGAAGGCCATGGCAATTCTGAAATACAGAAATCAGAGAATCCTATTAAGTAAGTTCAAGTATTTATAACCTGAAGATGAGAAAATTAAAATATGCAGGATCATTTTTGCATATTAAATAAAATTTAGGTTAGCTGATATTGTTTCTAAGAAATTACAAGTTTCTAAAAGGATCTCAGAATCACTGAAGGTAAATGGTACAGCAATTATGTTCTGTTCTTTGAAAATTGGTTTTTCAGGTATGATAAAATGACATGTTAAGCAGAATTTTAAATTAACCAGAAAATTCAATTCTCTAAATATAGTACACTACTAGAAAATTGCCAGACAGATCCAAGAAGATATCCATTAAATTGTCTAGAAAAACCTTTCACAAAATTATATTCTATAACTTTCATAGTTATATATAAAATTTTGCATGTGTATATCTTTTTATTTTTAAGGGAGATGAGCTATAGCTTTCATTGAATTTTTTATTTTTTTTATTTTGGAGAATGAGATTCTTTAATTCAGTTGCTTCATCAAAAGAGTTTAGATGATAATCTATATATATATATAAAAAGCTAAGTGACTGACTGTCCGTCCAACCCTCTGGCCAGTACATATGATGTGCACTGGCAATTTAAAAGTAAACGTTGACTAGCGCAGTGGTTCTCTCCTAATGCCGCGACCCTTTAATACAGTTCCTCATGTTGTGGTGACCCCCAATTTCATTGTTACAAATTGAACATAATTAAAGCATAGTGATTAATCACAAAAACAATATGTAATTATATATGTGTTTTCTGATGGTCTTAGGCGACCCCTGTGAAAGGGTCGTTCGACCCCCAAAGGGGTCGCGACCCACAGGTTAAGAACCGCTGCTCTAGCGTGATCCCTGCAACAGATGTTCAGGCTAATAGAAGCATCTCAGCCCCATAGATAGGGAATCCATCACTCCCTCTCATAACTATACCCTGCGTGCCACAATTAACTCACACACTCAGTATTCCCATAAGGGTAGAGAGCCGTTAGTTCTGTCCTTGAGAATCTCACAGTCTCATCCTCTCACTGGACTCTACCCAAGACTGGAAGGCTTCTAAACAACTGTCATTCCAATAGCTCTCTCCTGCCTTTGCATCTACAAATAGTGAGGGCTTGCAAGAGGCTGAAAAATGGGTTTATCCAGAGGAATAATTACATATGTTCATTTTCCCAAATGTTGAATAAGCATTTTTAATATCTTACCCATAACAGAGACTTTAAGTAACTCAATTTTACCCGTGAGGCCTGCAGCTTTCAGGTTGTCACACGCACCTAGTAACTGTGAGTCGCTGACATCAGCACCCACATAGTACACATCCTATGGGGAAAGACATTCTTATTTTAAGCAGAAATAAAACTATCAGATATTTCCTGTAGTTAAGAAAACTTACTGCCATTTTCTCAAATAATGAAAGTGAAGTCAATAGATTTGTTCATTCAGGTTAAAACAAATTTATAGTATTGCTTTAAAATGATAGTAGCAAAAATTTTAAAATCTATTAACAATATTTTACAGTTACAAATGCCTAAAGAATTTAGGGATTAGCATAATGTCATGACTGACTAAGATTACTAATATCTTGCTAAATTTATCATACTATTTTAAAAAAATAACAGCAATTTAATTAACTCTTCATAAGCCATTTGACAATAGTAAGTAGTGACTCATAGAATTAAAATAATAATCCCCAAAGATAATCTACTTATAAATAACTGGTAACTAAACATACATATACCAATTAAAGTGAATATATTTCTTAGTTTACTAAAGTTTAGAACTTACTGGCCATTCTTTAGCTGCTTCCAAAAGTATTGTTCCGAGTCCACACATTGGATCTAAAACAAATGCACCAGCCTATAGACAGAAATATTGATTTGGTACTATTAAATCTAATGGGCATTATAAAAGAAGAAATCTAACATTTGAGGAATCAATATTTTAAGAGTAAAGATTCCTTTTTACACTTTATGAATTTCAGGTAGTTCAAGCCCTAAGGCAAGTACATACTTGGCATGTTTAAAGATTAGAAAGGAGACCAGTATGACCAAAGCACACTGAGTGAGAGGGAAAAAGTGGTGATCATATCAGAGAGGTTGGCAGGTGATTCCATCAAGATGGGCTGGTGTTTGCTGCCTGTAGTAGCAATGTCCAAACCTTAGGCAGCGGTTCTCAATCTGTGGGTCACGACCATCGGAAAACACATATAGCATATCAGATGTTTACATTACGATTCATAACAGTAGCAAAATTACAGTTATGAAGTAGCAACGAAAATAATTTTATGGTTGGGGGTCACCACAACATGAGGAACTGTATTAAAGGGCCGCGGCATGAGGAAGGTTGAGAACCATTGCCTTAGAGGTTTAAACACCATATAACCTCATGTTACATGCCCACAGTAAGGCACTGGGCTTCGGCTCCTTTCTCTGGAAGCCAAATTGACAAAGTGGTCACCATTTGGAGCACTGCTGTCACTGTGGCAATACTGCAAGGATTCTGATTCTATTCTGAAGGATGGGGAACTACTGGAGAGTTCTGAGCAGAGAAGTAACATAACATTACATTTCAGAGGGATCGTTCTAGAGCAGTGGTTCTCAACCTTCCTAATGCCGCGGCCCTTTAATACAGTTCCTCATGTTGTGATGACCCCCAACCATAAAATTATTTTCGTTGCTACTTCATAACTATAATTTTGCTACTGTTATGAATCGTAATGTAAAAATCTGATATGCAGGATATATTTTCATTGTTACAAATTGAACATAATTAAAGCATAGTGATTAATCACAAAAACAATATGTAATTATATGTGTGTTTTCCGATGATCTTAGGCGACCCCAGTGAAAGGGTCGTTCAACCCCCAAAGGGGTCGCGACCCACAGGTTGAGAACCGCTGTTCTAGATGATCTGTTGAGAATAGAACAAAGGGTAAGAGTGTTAACAAGGAGGCTGGTTAGGGGGTCCAGGAGATGACAGTAGCTTAAATTAAGAGTGGTTGCCCTGGCTGGTGTTACACTGTGATTAGAGTAGCAGCCTGTGCACCAAAGGGTTGTGGGTTTGATTCCCAGTCAAGGGCATGTACCTGGGTTGCAGGCTCACTCCCTAACCTCATTGGGGAGTGTTCAGGAGGCAACCAACTGATGTGTCTCTTTCACATAGATGTTTCTCTCTCTCTCTCTCTTTCTCTTCCCTCCCCCCTTCCCCTCTCCCTTCCACTTTCTAAAAATCAATGGAAAAATATCCATGGGTGAGGGTTAACAACAACAACAAAAAGGAGTGGCATTGGTGGAAGTGGGGTGAAGTGGTTGGTAGGATTCTGGATATATTTTCAAGGTGGAGCCAACAGGTTAGATCGGATGTGGAATGTTGAAGTATGACAACAGTCTGAAATGAGTAAAGCTTTGACCTGTGCATCTGGAAGAGCTGAGGTGCCTGTTACTGAGGTGGGAAGAACTGGGGAGGAGATGCTTCAAAGGAGACAAGAGTACAGTTCTGGGCATGTTAATTTTGAGATACCCCTAGACCAACTATAGAGACCAAGTGAGTCATTAGACATATGAATCTGGAGTTCGGGGGAGAGGTTCAGGCTACAGATACACATTTGGGAGCATCAGTGTTAGTTTACAGATGGTACTTAAAGCACCAGAACTGGATGAGCCATCCAGGAGGCGAGAGAAGTTAAAAAGGAAAGTCGATGGGTTGGATCCTGGCGATCTCTTAAGTATAGACGTTGGTAGGTAGATGAAGATGCAGCAGTGCATGCTGAGCGCTGCACATGCTCGTGTAGGAGGAGAAACCAGAGTGATCTTCCCAAAACAAACTGGAAGGACCACTTCAAGGAGAAGGGAGCTGCAGGTGTCTGAGTGCTGACAGGCTAAGTGTGAGATGAGCGGTGTCAGGGGAGTGCTGGTGAAAGCCTGATGGAAGTGGGCACAAGAGAGAATGGGAAGAAAAGAGGGAGAGACAGCAAGTATGGACAATTAGTTTTATGAGTTTTTCCGTAAAAGGAAACAGAACGGGGTGGTAGCTGAAGGAGCATGTGGCTTCAGGAGAAGAATTTTTTTCAAGTTGCAAGATATTATACAGCCAGTGTTCCCACTGATGAGAATGACCAGTAGAGAGAAAGTCCTTATATAGGTAACAGAGACCAAAATCCAGTCCACAAGTAATGGAGTGAAATAAAGGCAACGTATGTGGGCACAGATTCTGGTTTGTTGGTAGATTTGGTGAGGAGAACATGTTGAAGTTCACTTCTGATTCTAGTATTAAAGTCATGTAAGAATCAGGAGAGTTAAAAGCGTGGGCAAGGAAACGACTGTAACGGTGGAACATAAAATTCAAGCTGTGGGCCAGGGAAGAGGACAGGTGGTAAGTAATGGGCAGGGGTGGGTCAAATGACTGGAGGTCCAAGAGGTTAAAGAACTATGTTAGGGTGCTGGAGGATGTGAACAGGAAAGAAAAGTGGTTAAGAGAGGACTCATGAAATTGAGATTTTGGGAAGGCATTCCCTTCTGGGTATAAGAAGGTCTAGGATGGGACTAAGGCAGGTCATTAGAGGTAGGAAGCCAAGACCTTGAGGGGCCAGGTTCCAAAGTGGATATTGGGATCATAGAGAATTATAACAGGAATAAGGTCTCCTACTCTAACAGAAATGACAGGAAGAGATCCGTGTGTAACTGCAATAACCTGAGGGCATGTGCCTCAGAGGCCCTGAGAGGCTTTGGGCAAAAGGAACAAGCAAGCAGGACACCTACCCCACCTCCAGGCCCAGTGGTCCCTTGATATGTCTACAGAGGAAGCAGAATGCCCAGTGGATGGTCAGGTTTCAGTCAAAGCCAGAGGGTACCTAATGGAAAGAAACAAAATGTCCTGAGAGAGAAAGAGAGAAAAAATTTCAGAAGCAGAAAACAGAGTAGTTTAAGGTTAAAGTCACTAATGCAAAGCAGTTGAGGTAATAATAATTAAATAATGAGAAAAAGTGCCTGAGCTGGAGAAATAATAATAAATTTTTTAATAATCATTAGCTATTCCAAATAAGTATAACTATAATTATTACTATAATAGTAGCTAATATTTATGCCCTTTCTCATGTTAGGCACTGTGAAGTCACTTGAAAAATGCTAATTCATTTGAATCTCACATGACTATGAAATTTTTCTTTTCATCTTGCAAATGAGAAGCTGAGGAACAAAGATGTTAAGTATCTTGCCCAAGGTTTCCCTGCCGGGTAAGTGATGGAACCAGAATTAGAACCCAGGCAGTCAGACTCACCGAGTTACGGGCTGAATAGAAAAGGCATTTATGGAAGTATGTCCTGGTACTATTCCTGAACCTTATAGGACTAAAGAGGAAAGTCTTATGAACTGCTGAGCAGAAAAAACAAGGTAGCTATAAAGGAAAAGAAAACCATACTGGCATGGACAACTCAGCTGCAACACGGGAAGCTAAAAGACAACGGACAGCACCTATCGACATTCGAGAGAAAAGGACTCCAACTCAAGCCAAGAAGGGCATGCCCACCAGATGAAAGGGAGAGATCTGAGATATATAGAAATTCAGATAGTAAATTATTAAAATACCACATGTGAGGAAAATACCTAAGCCAAGGCCGTAACCAAGCAATAAACAGACCCAAGCAGAGACCTCAAACGGGGAAAGACAACGTGGAGCATGTGAGGAGTGACACACCTTGCAATTTATCTTTGTGTGTTTGCACAGAAATATGTGTTTGCTACATACAGTTCTATCTTAATAATGAAGGATAGGCTGTGTAATATAAGGGCTAAATAAGAACTTTTGAAACAGAAGGGACATACTTTAAGGGAAATCTGATATATGATAAATAATTCAGTTCAATCTAGTAGTTGGGGTTGGGAATGAAAGATGAAATCTTTCAAAGGTCTCACTGCAGGGAGGAGGAAAGGCAGGCCAGGAGGAGAGGAAGCAGTACTCTAGAGGCCTCATCGTATCATAGGAACAAAGGGGAAGACTAGAATGTCTTGGTGGTAAAAACTATCTCGGCAGAGGAAGGAGTAGATATCTTGCTTTAAAATAATAGTAGAGTCCTGTGTGTTTAATTAAGAGAGCTGGGAAAGGGGGCTGTTTATGGACTAAACAAAAAAGTAAAATCTCCAACCTCAGGGAGAACAATGAAATGATTATGAAGTAACTTGATCAAACTAGCAAAAATAAAAGCAGTCAACGGTAAGAAGTTATAACCAGAGTGAAATAGGAGAAATACAATCAGGTGTGTCTGTCATTATACTGAGTTCTCTCATCGAAAGCCAGAGACCATCAGAGTGGGATACAAACAGAGCTGTGTGTTTGTAAAAACTCACTGAAAGCAAAATTGAAAATAAGGGAGGATCAAAGACATATTAGGCAAATACAAAGATAAAGGGGTGAAAATATTAATAACACATGATAAAATTTAAGTTTTAACTCACTTTTTAAGATAAAGAAAACTTACGTAACGATAAAAAGGTACAACTCACAATGAAGCAATAGCAGACTGTGTATACCAAACTACTGAATAAGGCAACCACTAATAAAAATGCAAAAACTTAAAAAAATATCAATGAGATTTCAAATACCTTCCAAAAGTAAGCAGATAGTAAAAGAGTAAGCAAAGATAGAGAGGACATTGACTACAAAATGAATTTTTTTTATGTCCATGGAACATTTATAAAAATTGATCAATATTTGGTCACAGGAGAAAAACTTAACTTTTAAGAAGTAGAGGTTTTTCAGGCCACGTCATTGTAACACAGAATATTAGGAAGAATAAAATGTGGCTATCTTTTAACCCAGCGTTTTCATAGGCAAAATACTCTCAGAAGTTCAACAATATTTAAAAACGTATTACTGCAGAACTTCGTAAGCATAATGGCAATGACAAAAACAAACAAACAAAACTAGCAAAAGAAAATGACAGAAGAAAAAGAGAACAGAAAAAAAAGCAAGCAATCAAGATGTCCATAAGTAAGAGACTGTGTAAGTTAGTTACGGAAAGAACCTCACTAATGTATTAACAAGAAAGAAAACATTTTCCTTACCTTAATTTCAGCGACAGAGGCCATCGCCCATGCTATGGTAGACCTCAGTCCTGCTGTCCTGATGTAAGCTCTGCTGGCTAAAGGAACCCTACAAAGGAAAAAGAACCTGATGCAAGATCCAATATGACTGTTAAGTTAAAAAAGAACCTTATATAAATAAAATTAACCTGTCCATGTCTGTGAATATCTCACCATGTTCATGCAACACACACTACAGTATTCTCTGAGTTGGGAGTATTTAACCTTATCACAGAAATACCTTCTCTAGTTGGCACCTTGTTTAACCAGCTAGTGTGGTACTGTAGAAAAGTAGAATGTTTAAATAACAGCAATTTAAACCCTATTGTGTTTACTTTATAAAAATGTTATCACATGAGGGGGATTTTTCTAAAATGTTTTAGCAGTTCCCTGTTTTCCCATAGGGAAGTGACCTTTTGTGTGCTGAGCAGGAGTCAAGAAGCACCTGCTGTTTTGTGACAGGGATGTAGTATAGGCAGGACTGAATGGAAACTAACACTTTAAATCGTTTTCTGTAAAAAGTCCCTTTTGTAAGTTTGTTTTTTGCTCATTTGCATCTCTCTCAAAAGATGAAATGAAGCATGACATTGCACTGTCTGCATGAAGCAGACATCTCCCAAATGAGTTCTCTGGTCTCCATTATCTACCACTTCATACTTCATCCTCCACCTCATCAGTGCTATCAGTGTTTCCAGATTTGATAAAAATTTTCAAAATAATATTTCTACAGCATCTAATGCAATGAATAAATTCCTTAGAAATTTGAATGCACTTTTCAATTTCATTTATATAATTTGTTGCTAAGATATGACTATATGATTTGGAGGATTAGTGCTTGGTTGTTTTGGGGGTAGGCTTGTTCCAAAACCACTAAGAGGGCTCTTCTCTGAACATTATACAAAGTTACTGTGTTTTCCAAACCCTATGTCTTTTGTCATTTTATTTCTGATCGGTCTTTGACTTTAGTTACCCTGTTTTGTGTGCATTTATGGTAAGCCTCTTAAAATGTTATAATCAGATGAGGTATCTCTTTCAAATAAAACAGTGTAATTGTATATTTACTGTTACAGTAAGGAAGTTCTGTAGGTAAACCCATAGGAGTTTGCTTTTTTAAAGTTTTTTCAGAAAATAATTCACACTGCAGACAGTATTATAGCCATAGATTTGGAATCTGGAATATAAACTTTGCAGGTGGAATGACTAGGAAATATTTTGATCAATGAATCTTGATACTACAGTCTCGGCTGGGCAACTGTCTTGCTACACAACATATTAAAACCAGAATTGAGAGATTATTTTTCACTCTTAGATACCAAAATAGACTTGGTATGGAAAACTGTCTTTGTCCATATACATGGTATCTCCAAAAATGTATATACACTTTTAATAGCTGATAGCTCAATTTTGAAATGAAATGTATTTTAATAAACATTGCCTTTCTAATTATTCAAAGTGTGCATATACATTTTTTGGGGACACCCTAATATTGCTAATAGCCTTTCTAAGCATCAGGGATTTTGTAGAACCTCTGAAAGTTTTGACAATTATGTGTATATTTTTACCAATAGAGGTTTTATTTTATGGGAGCCAACCCTATTAACATGTGACCAAAGTAAATGTTTTTATTGTTCGTAGACTTGTCATCTGAATCCCAGATCTTAATTTTTAAATGTGTGTTTGGACACTTTTTACCTAGAGTACTGCCAATTCAACAGGTGTAAACTGTGCACAGTCCTTTCCCTGTATTTCATATCTCGATACATTTCTTCATTTTCTCGGGCCACTTACCTTCTATATATTGTGTATCTTAATCTAAATCTCCAGCCTAGGCTTGTCACTGGAACTCCTGAGCTATAACTTAAATATCTATTCATAGACATTTTTCATTGAATACACTACTGTTCCTACATTTTCTATCTCAGTGACTGACACCAGTATCTACTGGTTGTCCAAATCAGGTATCTGGCCATTATTCTAGGCTCCTTAACTTTATGGAATTCATGCCCTTCTTTTTGTTATCCCCAATTTGCCTCAGTTCGGCTCTTCATCATTTATTGCCTGAACTGTTGTAAGAGTTTGAACCTCCTTTTTCTTTTCATTTCCCCTTCATTAAAAAATGTAATTTCCTTAGTAATATCTCAGAAATCACAAATCTGATCACATCACTCTGCTGCTTCATATGCTTACTGCTTTTGGAATAAAATCCAAGTTGCTCAGCACGGCTTCCAAGACACTTCATGACTTGTTTCTAATTGCTCAGTCTCATTTTCTACCACCCTCCTTATGTCTCCCCTGGCCCACCTGCACTGAAACCACTGGCTGTCCCACATAACGCAAGCTTTCTCTACCTCCATGCCTTTGCAAGTCCTTGCTTGTGAGGTCCTTCTCTTCTCTTGTCCAGTTGGGGAACTCCTCCTTAGTGTTCTCCATTAAGTGACTCATTAAATGAATCTCCTCTATGTTCATTTGCTCCCATCCTCCAGCAGAGTTAGGTGCCCTTTTCTAACTCTAGCCAAGCATTTTTCACCTACCTTTGTTCTTCCACTAAATTGAATTCCTTGAACTTAATAACCATCTTCCTCGTCTCTGAATGTTGATAACTAGCACAGTGCTTAGCATATAATGAGTATTCATTAGACATTTCAACTGAAATTAACTGAATAAATTAATCTTACTCTAATGTCTCTCCCTTCCTTCCCTACTTACTGATCTATTTCAGAAATAAGATAGTTGAAATTTATTCAACACTTACAGTAGCCTAGAAATAGTACCAAGCATTTTTTTAAATATTTTTATTGATTTGAGAGAGAAAGGGAGAGGGAGAGAGCGAGAGAAACATTGATGATGAGAGAGAATCATTGACTGGCTGCCTCCTGCAATCTCCACACCGAGGATGGAGCCCGAAACCCAGGCATGCGCCCTGACCGGGAATCAAACTGAGACCTCCTGGCTCATAGGTCGACGCTCAACCACTGAGCCACGCCGGCCAGACGTACCAAGCATTTTCATGCAGGTTATCTCATTTAATCCCAAACACAAAGCAGATGAAGTAGGTACTATTATTTTCCTGCTTTTATAGCAGAGGACTATGATAATCTGCCCAAACTTGCAGTTAATCTGTTGAGAAGGTAGAATTGAAGTCCATAGTTCTTATTCATTATGCTACACATGTACAGTGTGGCATAGCTGTATACAGTTAATGTTCAAAGTGAATTTTAAGAATTGTGCTGTATTTTTTATTTTAATTAAAATTCCAAGATGCAAAGAGACTAAAATTTTTAGCTTAAACAAGGGCCTGTGAAAATCATTTAATAATAGAAATAATTAGATATAATTTTCAGTCTGAATCATGCAATCAGTGGATTATTGTGATAAATTCTTGCACAGCTCTACTGGTCAGATCAAATCATATCCACTAAGCTCCATGGAAACACTTTACTGGCTAAAGTAAAAACTCACATGCTTTGCCTTTAGCCCCCTCTGTTGTATCAATGTTTCATACTATAAATGAAAAGCATAAAGTTCTTAATTTTAAAAACTCTCCTAAGGGATAAATTTGAGTTTAAGATATAAATACCTGAACACAGGAATTCCCATGACAGAGTAAATGTCATTTAGATGTATAAATATCTGAAAGAACAAATACATAAGTTAGAATAGAACAGAAAATGCATTACCAAATTATTGATAATTTGAAAATTTCTATTTTGAACCTATATAAACTATATTTCTAATAAAAAATTCCAAGGCCTTATTTGTCATATATGGAAAAATGTTCCATACTATTTTTCTCGAGCAGAGGTGAAATAAATTTTAAGTACATTTCATAGAAAAATTTTGAGGTTAATTTTGTAGGCAAGTTATATGAAGATTCAAGTTATTAAGAACTCAAGATCCACATTCTTCCTAAAGATTCTCTGAATTATCATAACTGAATCAGACTTTTCAGCATTTGGGGTTAGAGATTTCCTAAATCCATCCTAATTCTAACCTCAAATAAGAGTTGAGGCCACACAGGACTGCCATAGGCTACATACTATTAGTGTGACAGGAAACTTTCTTCAGATCAAATATATTGTAGACACTGGTGACCTTTTCTCTCTCTACTATCTATAGGTGATTTTATTCCTCTCTTTCTTCATCAAACCATAAAGTTCTTAAATGTCTCGAGTTATAATTCGTAGCCCAATAAACTTTATAAAAGTTAGAATCTTACTTCTGTAATCTGATGAAGTTTATGGAATATTCTAATTCCGCTGTTTGACCTCAAGAGCATTTAAACCACAATACTTTCCCTCCCAGATTACTTTTTTATATATGCAGTTTAATCAGGATTATTCCAATATTGATAACTTTTCATCAAGAAAAAAAAGATCTGAAATGAATTCCCTTTAGTCAATTTAATTCCCTGATCATCACAGCTAAAGTTTCCAATTTTTTATATTATTCAACTTTAGCAAAATTATTTATTGGGATTAATTCTATTTAAAATTTCTAGTAAAGATAGAATGTACTGTTATTTTTATATATCAAATGTTATTAAGAATAGCTTCACCCTCTATGAATTTTTTTCTATTAATTTTACAGAGCAAAATTTGCTAAGATTTGATTCTTCAGTCAATTTTGGTCACACATTTTACTGTGTGATTTTCGTGTTGCCAATTTTGTTTTGTGTTGATTGTTGTTATCAATAACTAACATTAATTGCATTAAGTGGATGATAGGAATTCAGTTAGCTATATTTATTCATGAGCTAAACTATGGAAAACTGTAATTCTGAGACAGGAAGATAATCAAAAGGAAGACGAAGAGGAGGAAACCAGAGAGCAGAAGGGGGAGATGAAAGGAAGACTCCTTATGTCAGAATATTCTTGGGGTCAAAGTATATTTTACATGTCAGGTATAAAAGATATACACCAGGCATTACTTTTTAAAAGTGAAAAATACATTAAAAAATATAAAAATAAAACAACCCAAAATGTTCTGTTTTGGCTAGCAATTACTTCATTTACAGCTGTATAACAATGAATTTACCAATGAATGATGAAAATGACTATACTACATGTCAAATTTATGAGCTGATTCTCAAAAAAATAGTGATTATTTTTTATAACTTGCATTTATTTCCTCATGTGTTTTATTTTGTTCCAATTAACAGTGTAACCTCATCAATTTTTAAAAAGAGACCAAAAAGTAAAACATAATCCCACAACCCTAACCAAGCCATTATTAACATCATTATCTGCACTGTTCTATGAAAAAAAAAAATCAGACTGCTAGATCCATGCAGACATGCTTTTTGAAACACTAAAGGAAAATTGAAAAGTACAATAGATTAGTTTTGACATTGTCTAAAGAATTAGGTTATAAGCATATAAAACAAAATAAACGTTCATTACCTCTAAGTTTGGATTTCTCAAATCTGCTTTCCATCCAAACTGTTTCATAAGAGCAATTCCAATTATTCTTCCTACTTCCTGGAAAAGCAGCAAGTTATAGAAAAGATAAAAATATTATAAATGAAAAATGTAAATATCCTATATAATAAAAGCGTAGTATGCAAATTGTCCCCTCCACTGGGAGTTCCACTGGGAGTTTGACCAGGGGGCGGGGCCAGCCAGGGGAAGGGAGGGAGTACCTGGTGGGCAGCTGCTAGGGACCCTACCAGTGCATGAAAGGGCCTCTAATAAGATGTAAGATTTTCCTAACAGTCAGCAGGAACATCAAGGGAGACTATCCAATGGTAATTTAGAATTACAATATTAAATTGCAATATTAAAATATTACACCCTCCTTCATCCCCTCCCACCCCCAAATTCATTCTATGGCAGTAATATCTACTTATGTGCAATCGCTATTCTTGTGATTTTTGAGACGTGAAATAACCAAATCATGACCTGATAAAGCCATTCTGGGTTTTAGGAAATGGATGCAAGCTGAAAGATTAATTTACCTACTTGCAAGCCTATATGTTTAAAAATGACCAGATTGGTAACATTAGACTCAGACTTCAGGGTTTGATTTTAAGGTTGGACAAAGAATCCAAACCTATGGCTATATGCCTTTTATATCACTGAACTTTGTAAGGGTCACTAACATGGGTTTTTTAAAGAAACTGTTTGTAGTGTTCACCCTCTCATAGAGAGTTGAGACCTTGAGTGTATTTATGTCTGGGTTCTAGTGATAATCACACCTATCGGACCTGGTGCAGAGTAATCACTCCATAAACAGAACTAAACTGAAGAGAAACCCCAAAACCTTAAGACCATGCTATTAGGATTTCCAAATGCAAAAATACTTGTGAGTTTAAGAAAACTTAGTAAAGGAGGTCAGTACATGGCATACTATTCCTATTAAGAAGCTGAGATAACGCTAAAATGGAAAATGCATTTTTAAAAAGATTTAATTATTATGTTAGGCCAAGTTATCTGCCTGAGCCGAGTTATCTATTCTGTGAAAGGGTTTGGTCTCATTTTAAATCGAAGGAGTAGTTAATTCATCTAGAAAATAGAAAGCCACTTTGGAGGTAAGTGTACCTGTGCAGAAAGGGTCTTTGCAATGGCTCCACTGCAGCGACAAGAAACTCTGAAGGTCAAGTCATTCTGGTTATGAGTATCTCCTGCTTTTGCTAATTCATTCTGAAGTTCTTCTTCTTGACATTTCTCTCTTTCAGTGAGAAAATCTCCTCGCTCCAGTGTCTCCTCTTCTATTTGCTTTTCCAGCTGGCATTCCCTATTCTTTTGCGTCTCTTGCATTTGTTCTGCTTTTAATTTCTTAGCAATAATGCTGTCATTTTCTCCCATTTTTCTTTTTAGTGGGTTAGCATCTCCTTGAGACAGTTTTTTCTTTTTTGCATCAAGTTCAAGAAGATTTTTCCAAATCGAAATGGCATTCAACCAACTTTCAGGATCATCACTTATAAATCTTTGCATTTCATAAAATATTTTTCCTAAATAAATAAAATTTCAGTTTATCCTACATTGAAGCTTTAAAGACAGTCTACTATATTCACCACCCCTAAATGCCATTATTTTTATTTTTATAAAGTAAGTTTTTTTAAACTACTACATGAAGAGTGACTTCACTTTCGTATGGAACTTATATCATTTAATATAAGAGTACTGTGCCAAATGGGTTCATTCTTATATTCTATAACAAACATCAAAACCATTTTAAAATTCCTATAGAATTACCTGTATCATTCATATAGAAAGATCATTTGTTCTATGATAATATATGTATCTCTTTATATAAGCATAGACCTAAAGTGTGTATCAATCTTTGAAATAATGTTAATCTTGCCTATAAAATTAAGTTGGAAAAAAATAGAATTACAAAACACAGAGCTCAGAAATAGAGCAACGAAATTCTGAGACTATTTCAGACCATACAGTATTAGCACACATCATAAAAGGAGTTTCTATAAAGGAACACTTCAGGTACACAACCCATTCATAACTTATTCAAAATAATGTAATCTTTTCTTGATGAACAAGGGTCATCAAGATGACTCAAGAGCCATTACTGTATTTCTCTAATAATGAGAATGTATGGACTATTGGAATGAAATAATACTGATCCCACAATATAACATCTTAGTATTTGCTTTAAAATATTTTTTCTGCCATATCTTGATTTCTTGCCATTTGTATCTTCCTTGATACAATTTATTACAGATTATACGCTTACATGTTCTCTTGTCATAATCAGCAGTCAAAATGAAGTTTAAGGCAATGTGTAATCCAGCAATGTCTGACCCTTATTTGTTGCTTTTATTAAGATCCTTAAGCATATTTATAAAAACAGAAAATCTCTTAAGCTCCCTTTAATTCTAATGCTTTATAAATGGTTAAGAGTTTATTCAAACATCTAAGATCCCTAAAACAGGGTATTTTACTATACAGTATTTTTTCAATTATATCACTCATTAGTTAAAATTTACAAGGTGGTAGTTTTGAACAATTTATTAAGATGATGCATTTTTGATTCTTACACGTCCTAAATCTAAATAAATGCAACTGACCATATATAACTGTAGAGAAGGTGTCTGATCAGAATTTGCAAAAATGAAAAGTGACTTAGGACACTAAAATCTTAGTAAGACAGGCAGCAGATTGTAAAGAGACACAATTAGGTGATAATACAATGAGGTGATAATATTCAGAAAACATAGAAAAATAATGATCTCCGAGATAGGAATAAATTTTAAAAATGTCAAATGGCTACTTATTAATTATCAAGCAGAAAATTCTGGAGTACATATATTGTGTGGGTATACACCATACCTTTACTTACAGAAGAAACATTAAATGGAAACTGTTTTTTAATCAGCAAAAATAATCTTTCTGCAGATTTTAACGTTTTCAGCATATTCAAGTCAGAACAGGTGGTGAAAAAAACTTTTCCTGAAACATATTCAACCTAGAGATATAAAAAATAGATATTAATTTAGTCTAGTATAGAGTAAGAACCATTTATCTTTTCCCCCCTTAATGAATTAAAACAGCACATCTAGATTAACAACAGAAAAGACCATTTCTGAAGTATCTAGTATTTGTCAGACACTGCTTTAGGCATTCTGAATACATTTATTTTCCTCAGCCTTATAACAATTCTCTACGGTAGACTTTATCACCCCCATTTTACAGATTAGGAAACTGAGGCTTAGGTAGGTTAAAAATTTTGTATAAAGTCACGTAGTCAGTGACCAAGACCATAATCTTATTATGTTATGCTACCATTTGCAAACTGTGCATGTATATATGCATGTACACACACTACTAGAAAAACAACACAAAATACTCAGTAATTATATTGCCAAATCTCACACAGTATTTGAAAGTGGGCAAAGAAAAGGTATAATGGCTAGGACAAATTAGGTGTCTAGCCCAAGGTTAACATGTCAATGGGTATTTATTAAACACCTACCGTGTGGTCTACCAGAAGCAAATGTCCTAAAGATGAATAACAATACTCTGACATACAAATTAAAATGTAAAATTTATAAGACAGTAACGTGAATTAAACCCAGAAGAAAATGAGAAAGTTTCAATATAATAAACTTAACAATAAGCTGTATGTATGGTATGTAACACTGAATATGAAAGCCATCATTAGTAAAAGTCTTGAAGAGAAATCTTACAAGATCTGGGAGGAGGGATTCTAAGGAAAGAACGAAGGGCAAAATGCAAAGGTGGGGTGACAACCTGGCTGAAGGAAACTGTAAGTTAACATGGCAACATGTGCTGTGTTATGCTGACTGTCAGGTGGATGGATGGTGTAGCTCGGACCAGCCTGATAAATGGTCATGGAATGGAGTACCACAGATGGTAATGGTCAAACATTATAGACGTTTGAGGAAAACTGACAGCACCAAATTAGTTGGTAGGAAAAAAATTACTTTGGAAGAAGCATAAAGGACTGGGTGTAGATGTGATGCTGGAGGGAGTAGATTAGTGAGGAAGAAATAATGGGACACTTGGCTGTGGGAACTGAAAAATGGATGGAAGCAAGAAATATGCATCAAACAGAACTAGGCTTTGGAGATAGGGTAGATATGTGGTGAAAGTCAGGGAAGAAAAGAAAGTGAAAAGAGCACTGACTATGGGGAGTCTTATGAGGTACGGCAAATGGTGCTCAATACCCATGGAACCCTAAACCTTTTGGGTCAACCCAACTCCCTTCATTCAGGATGGATGTGGATTGTCCTGAAATTCTCCTTTTAGCAGTGGCCAGGGGCTGACTACATGGTTATAGCTCATCTCCTAGAACTGAGGCACCAGGGAATTTGGGGTACCCAGGTGTTTAGGCAGCTCCCATTCAATGGGAAGCTGAACTCCAAGTACTTTTGTTTTTTTGATCTGACATGGTCTAGTTAAACTTTTGGGATGGAATGTCTGGATTTAACATTCTAGCTTGAAAAAGAATCTCTGCTGAGGAAGCCCTAGGTTGACACCAATTAAAACCCAAATCCTTCTGGTTATAAGTTTAACAAGTTCTGGGAATCTAATGAACAGCATGGTTATTTGTTCAGATCCCATTTCCAGGCATATCTACCCTTAAAACACAGAGTAACAAAATATGGAAATTCCCAAGTCTCTTGGCATTTAATTCTTCACAACGCCAAAGGTTTTCCCCCTTTAATAAGCTGAATTTTGTTGCTGTGATTAAAATACATTTCCACCCCCAACCTCTTTTTGTCTGTAAAGAAGATGGATGCCCAGCCAGTGTGGCTCAATGGCTGAGCATCAATCCATGAACCAGGAGATCACAGTTTTGGGCACATGACGGGTTGCAGGTTTGATCCCCACTAGGGGACGTGCAGGAGGCAGCCGATGGATGACTCGCTTTCATCATTTGATATTTCTATCTCTCTACCCCTCTCCCTTCCTCTCTCTGAAACCAATAAAAACATATTTTTTTTTTTTAAAAAAAGATGGAGAACAAGCGAGAGGGTCTTTCTTTTTTCTGACATACCCAGATTGGGTCAAGCCTTCTATTTTTCATACCAAGAACTCTAAATTAATATTTTTTAAAACAAATTAGTGCAGCATTAGGTCATGGTCGCATAGCGGTCAAGGACTGGAGCCAGGAGTCAGCCTGCCTGACAGCTTGAGTTCGAATCCCAGCTCTGCCATTTTCTGTTACACGCCTTGAACAATGTATTGCATTTACCTATGCTTTATTTTCCTTTTCTGTTAAATGTGATGCCCACCTCCCAGGGTGGTTGTGAAAATCAAACAAGTGAATACAGAATAAGTACCTAAGAACAGGTGCCTGACATACATTACATGCTTAATGTCAGCAATTGTTATTATATTGCTTTTTCGATGAGCTACATCAGACACTATCAAAGTCTGTGATCAGATCCACAAATGCAGGTAGTCTAGTAAGACTGATGACATTTCCATGACCTCCCCCCCCCCCCCCCATTACTGTAGAAACTAGTTTTGTGGGCTTCCAACAACAGAGGAGCTGCTGGAATCATCAGCTTCATCTTTCCTTTTCTAATAAGACATCACGTGGCCTCTCATATGACCCATCAGGATACGGAGGGTTCAGTTACATCTTTTTCTTCTGCTTTCAAGAAACCAGCTCAGCCTATTCTAAATGAACCCAAACTGATGTTTAGAACCTTGTTCACTAAAATTAACAACTTGTAAATACCGAAACCATTAACTTTCTCTGAGAATTGGGCTGGGGCCTGAGAGTACTGTATTTCTGGTGCTACTACTTACTGAGTGTTTAAGGTGCACTTTTTATCATCTAATCCTCCCAACACCATATAAAGTCAGTACCATCGCCGGCAGGAAACGGAAAAGGATCAGGGGACCGAACCTGCAGCTTATTTGCACTAAAGGGTGGAGAAAGGATTCTAACTCGGACAGGTCTAGCTCTAATTACAGACACTATCAAACGTTTTCTGTTAAAGAATCCAGGAAACAACTTGCTTCAACCCCTTTTTAAAAATACTTCGGCGGTGAAAGATGTGCGGCAATGGACGTGCAGGGAAACACGACGGGGGTCCTTTCGGGGAGGAACTGCAGCACCTGCCAGTGCAACTCCGAGGCCGGGGCCGCGGCGCGTGTGGGCGGAGGGCGGGGGTCGCGTCGCTCCCCCGGGTCTCGGTCGGACCGGCGGGGAGGGGGGCAGCGGCGGGGCCTCCCCTTCCCTCCGGCGCAGCGAGGCCCACTCACCTGCGTGGCCTGCAGCCGCACCCGCACCTCCCGCATCAGAAAGGGCTCCAAGCCGCGGCCCGCGGTGCAGAAGAAGCGGGCGCCCGCTGCGGGCTCCGACTGGGGATCTGCGGGCGCCGCCGCCGCCATGGCTGCCGGGACGGGCAGGGTCACGTGGCCCTGGGCACGGGCGCGGCGCAGTCAGGGTCACGTGGTTCGGGGCGCGCACGGGGCGGTCCCTAGCTCTCAGGGGCCCGCGGGGGGGGGGGGGGGGGTGGAGCTAGAGGCCCACGGGGCAGAGGGGGCCCAAGGGAGGCCCCTTGGTTAAGGGCCTGGAACCTCCTTGGGGAGGTCCCTGGAAGACTCAGAGTACCACGTGGACTGAATAGAATTGATCATCTAATCCAGAGGTTCTCAACCTTCCTAATGCGCGACCCTTTAATACACTTCCTCATGTTGTGGTGACCCCAACCATAAAATTATTTCCGTTGCTACTGCATAACTGTAATGTTGCTACTGTTCTGAATCCTCATGTAAATATCTGATATGCAGGATGCATTTAGGCGACCCCTGTGAAAGGGTCGTTAGACCCCCAAAGGGGTTGCGACCCACAGGTTGAGAACCACTGAGAGCCATCCATCTTCTTTTCCAGGTGGAGGAAGCTGATGCCAAGAGACAGCGAGTTACGGGCACAGGTGAGGCGGGAACCTAGCCGTCTTGACACCGGGTATAATGAACCATCTCCATTCCCCCCAACTTCCTCTTCTCTTCATCCCTCCGCCCTGCTCTCCTTCCCTAAGGCGCCTTGCTCCGTCCGTCTTGGCCAAGAATTGGGCCACAGCCAGGAATCCCCAGGACCCCGAGCAGCAGTCCCTGCTCTCCAACTAAATGTCCTGATGTTCACGAAACTGGTCACCGTCCTTACATTACGTATTTTACCATCAAGGGAACCAGTGCACCATCCAGTTTGGGCAAGTGCATTTGCATACTTTCCCCCTCACCACTCTCTCCCCAGCTTCATGGTTTATGGGACAGTATCATGGAAATGTTTATGGAGTCACGTAGCAATTGACTTGATTGGGTCTCCTAACAGTATTTCAAGGAGGTTTTTTCTTTTAGCCCTGAATTTTTAATTGGCAGTGAAAATATTTCTCGGGGAGAATAGAATCCATATTACAAAAGGAACACCATTCGCTGCCTATCGGTTTAATATGATTTCAACCCCCTTTGTTGATGACAGGTAAGTTGTTTTAATACACTTGTTTATGATGAGACCAAAACATAAAGTTGCTTTTAGAAGTAAAGTTGTTTTGATAGGAGGATGAAGTAAGTTGTGTCTGGATGTCACCGTCTTTGAGAAGCACTCAGCACAGCTGCTGAGGGTCCCCCAACGGGGCCTTATCCATAAAAACATGTGGAGAAGCAACTAAGGCAAGAGGACATTAAGACTATAACTATAGTTGACCCTTGAAAAACGTGGGGATTAGGGGCACTGACCCCTGCACAGCCAAGAATGTGTGTAACTTCTGACTCCTCCGAAGCCTGTATAACTACAGGTGGCCCTTCGCATCCAAAGCTTCAAACAGTGTTTTCTACCTGAGGTTGGGAATGGGAAAATACTGTTTCTATTGGGAATGGAACCCACCGATGGATGGGAAACTCGAGGATACGAGGGACAACTGTATTTACGGAAAAAAAACCCAAGTGTGAAGTGGATCAGTTCAAACCCTGTTGTTCAAGGTCAGCTGTGCTGAGACTTTGTGAGGACGATTTGAGTTTGGGTTTGAGCAAGGTGACTCTTCACTAACCTTAAAACTCTCTGGAGACCCTTGGGGGCAGTTGCTCCTGTGTTGGTGAGGTGACTCCTCCTGGAATGGAAGCGTGTGTCTTCCTGCATTTGTTCCCTAGCAACATGCTCTAGCAACAGGCAACATTCTGTTTGTGCTGGCGGCTGGAGATCAGCTCTTGGTTGGTTGCCTTTTCTCCTGAAGTGCCTCCTCACGTAAAAAGGTACATCGCATATTAAATGTGAACACGATTCCTTCATCTCCCCGTGCCTGCATCAATACTGTGATTACTCTATCATTTGTTTGGAGTATGTTATTTCTTTATTGGCTTGTTAAAGAGATATTATGCTGGATGGTAGTGACTTGTGAAATTATTATAATTTTCACAGATAAATTGCCAGCAAAGACAGAATCAGTTTCTAGGTATAACTTTTTTAAAAATATTTTTTACTGATTTCAGAGAGGAAGGAAGGGAGAGGGAGAGAGAGATGGAAACATCAATGATGAGAGAGAATCATTGATTGGCTGCCTCCCGCACACCCCTCACCGGGGACCGAGCCCGCAACCCAGGCATGTGCCCCCGACCAGAATCGAACCTGGGACCCTCTAGTCCGCAGACCGACACTCTATCCACCGAGTCAAACTCGCCAGGGCTCTAGGTATAACTTGACTGCCTCCAAAACAAAACAAAACAAAACAAAACAAAACAAAACAGCATTAAATTAGCTATAGTCATACGAATAAATAGAAACTATTAAATGAATGACTATCTCTCTGGTAAGTGCTTCCCATGTACTTTCCCCCTCCCCACCCTCCCCCCAGCTTCATGGTCTATGGGACAGTATCATGAAAATTTTTATGGAGTCATGTAGCAAGAGCTTTTCAAAGATTCAGTCCTAAAACTTCTCAGATCCTTTCGTTTTGGTGAAATCCTTTCTTGTTTTGCCTCTAGACTTATGTTCTCTTAGCAGTTGCCATAGCTCATTATAATTTCTCTATACTTGGGGGTTCCTGACTCTCATGTCTGTCTGGGGAGACCCATGAAATCTCCTTAGTACATCCTACATTCTGTACCCAACATGGTAAACATGCAGTCATAAGGTATCCCATTGAGTTCAACAAATACTGGGTACCCACTCTCGGCCACACACCCATGAAGTCTTGAGGATACAAAGACAAGTATGTAAGGTTCTGGACTTCAAGGGGCTTAGAGGATAGTGATATTGATTTCTCAAGCATGTATCCAGGATGTGTGGCAGCACAAAAAAGGTGGCAGGGAGAGCTTCCTGAAGAAAATCACTCTTGTGCCAAATGTTGAAGAATATATAAGATTTCAATGACTCACTGGAGTGGTGGTGGAGGGGTTGTAGTGGTGGTGTAGTGTTTTAAGTAGAAAGAACAACAGATGTTAGTGTGTGTGTGTGTGTGTGAAGGGGGGAGGGGTGGGGCAGGAAGGTGACAAGAGCAGCTAGGTGTTATTAGAGCATAAATTATAAGTTGAGAAGTAGAGGTGGGTAGGGAGCAGGTTGTCGCAGTACTGCCCAAGGTGGATGAAGAAATTACTTCTCCAGCCAAGGGCTGGTCAGCAGCATGCTCTCATGGACAGAACCATGGCTGAGCCCAAGGCTTCAGTCCTCCAAGCCAATCTTCCCCTCATACTTCCCCTATCCTTTTCCCTTCTGTTGTCTGTCCCCCTCCAGGAGCCTTTAGGCAGTAAGGTCAGGGGTTACTCTTCCTTCACTTGGGGAGGGGGGTCACATGCATTTGCTCATCTTTGGACCCTGCTTCAGCACAGCACTTCCAAGAATGCTTTTTACACAATGCTTGAGATGAGATGAAGTAGGTAGAGTTTTGCCTTTTTAGGGAGAAAATAATTGGGTTTCTGTGAGGAGAGTTGCTTCAAATTCTCTACCCATTAATCAAATACTCTGTCTTCCACCATTTCTGGTTCTTAGTAAAAACTAGAGGCCCGGTACACAGATTTGTGCACATTGAGAGGAAATTAATTAGAAAGTGGCCAGTGGAGTAGAACTGGGCGAGATGGGCCGGACACGCCCTGGAGCCATCCTCCCCCAGTCCCTTCCTGGCTGGCAGCACCTGGGCGGTGCCAGGGTTTGAAGGGCGACTGCAGAGTGAGCGGGGTCCCTCTGTCAGGTGCAGTCCCTCAGCTTGGCCTGTGGGATTCCGGCCAATGCCAGCAGTCTGACATCCCATGAGGGGTCCAGGAGTGCGAGGGGGCACTCTGCAAAGTTGCTGTCGCTCTGCAGCTCCTGCGTTGAGCATCTGCCCCTGGGTGATCATTGCATGTCATGGCCGGTCACTTAGGCTTTTCTGTATCAAAAACTAGAGGCCCAGTGCACAAAATTCACGCACAGGTAGGGTCCAGGGGCCTGGTTGGCGATCAGGGCCGATTAGGGTCTTCTGCCAGCTGCCAGCTGCCGGCCAGGGCCTTCCTTTGTTCTGTGCTGCCCCCTGGTGGTCAGCGCACATCATAGTGAGCAGTCAGACTCCCAGTTGGTTGAACTCCCAAGGGGACAATTTGCATATTAGCCTTTTATTATATAGGATTATCTCTACTGAACAGAAAACCATTGATCCCTATAGATGGTTAGCATAATCAGCTAAATTTTGCTGTTTGGATAGTGCATATTCAACATGTAGGAAGTTGGAGGTAGACAGGAGCAATTTTAGAACAGTAACACTTTTATGTGAGGTGTTTTAGGAATTCAGGGCAAGATAATTTGCTTCGAGATCTCTTCCTATTTTAGTGTAATTGACAACTTCTTTAGTTCTTAAAAGCATTTGATGTGTATACTTAGATATTAAAATACAAATGATTTAGATTGTTAGATCTTTGAGGAAGGGATGACCTCATTCACCGGGACATTCCTAGAGAGCACACTGGCATGCCTGTGGAAGGCTCTCAGTAAATGTATGCTGAATTGAATGGAATATAATCAAACGGGAGTTCACTCACTAAAGAAGTCCCCCTCAGCTAGGAGGAATTGCTATAACCACCATATCAGCAGGGGTCATTGTGATCCAGATACGGAGACAGGGTAGAATACTGAGGCCAGTGGAGGTCATTTAAGGGATAGGAGGACCAGCCTTTGAGAAACTTTCAGTTTAATGGGAGGTAATGGTGATGGTGTTGGATTGCTCAGAGAGACATGTAAAGAGTGACAATACAGTGTGACCTATGGGAAGGAAAGGAACACAACTGGGTTTGGCATATAGTAGGTACTTAATAAGGTTGAATAAATGGACTTATTCTGAAGTCAAGTGAGCATTCTCCATGTTTTGACTTCCCATCTTCCTTGGAGCATCTTTGCCAAGGAGGGGCATTCTCTGCCTTCTGAGGCCCACCTCCCGTGGTAGATAA